AGTGCAACAGGACTGCTCGAAGAGATTTAAAAAAAATAGGAGCAGAAGTCATTTCAAGACCTACACCTGAAAACCCATAAAGCGACTGACAAAACTGAGCCTTTTTTTAGTCCAAACGCCGTTTGGTATTTATGGCGTTTCATTTTTACATTTCTTGGTGTTTCACTACAAACGGCTTTCACTTTTCAAATTGTTGCCACCAATATTATCGTCCTGTATTGCATTTAAAGAAATTAAATAATGAAGAATCTGCATAAATGTATGTATCTTTCTCGCATTGTAATAAAACAATGGTACCTAGAGTCATCAAATTCTGAATAATGTATGTCTCCACCTGAATATGGGCATCTGGAAGCTCGAATTTGGAATTTGTTTTATTATCTATTTCATGGTTCGTAAAGCATTTATGAGTTTTTGATTAAGAAACTTAGCGATTTCAAAGGGAACAATGGCAACACTAAAGAAAAAAAAGAAATATATATATATATATATATATATATATATATATATATATATATATATAATATATATATATATATATATACAGCGCGCGAGACTGTGTATCGTAAATTCTAAAGATAGGTTCTTAATAATTTTGTGGTATTGCTGTTGAATTTAATTTTATGTATTAAGTGCTAAGAACATGATATTTAATAAACAAAGGTAACACACAAATCGTTTAAAAAAAAGGCCTCTTCGGGCGTAATGTAAAATCTGAGAATTTTCAGTCCCCACTTCTTTTTAATGCCGCTTGGGTTTATAAACTTTTAATTCTAAGAGCATTTTCAGCGGTCTCTGCTAGCTCTGATAATCGACAGTTCACTGTACTGTCAGTGAAGTGAAAAAATATTCCTCTAAAAACTTAGACAATTGCATAAAAAAAATTTAAATGTTTTAATCATAACTACTAATGTAAACAGGATACATTTGTTCTCGTTTCATTCTGGTTGGATTTTGATTCGAATTCTTGCACTCTGCTCTGAAATTATAAAATTAAAACGAACATTTATCAATTGAGTAGTAGAATTATTAAATTCTAAACAGAAGCCCTTCACATCTTGCTTAAAAAAAATTAAATCAAACATTATGGTGGGAATTCATATATGTTTTATTATTAAGTATAAATTTATACCTTTAATCAAAGATTTATTTTATTTCTTAACTCACAAGCTGTTAACATAGAGTGTTATTAATAACCACAATTAATAATTATAAACCTCAATTTATGTTTTCCTAGTTCTCATTTGGGTTTTCTATCATACTGGATGTTTACTTTAAAAATTATATTGCTTCTTTTTCTTTATATCTAAATTTTATTTTGCTATTAAGAGCAATCTAATAATATGCAAACTGAAACACTTCAGATTAAAAAAAAATATTTAGATAAAAATGTCAATGCTATTTCATATTAAAACATATGAATTTCACTAATGTATTTCAGCTGAACCAACATTTCAATTTATATGAATGCAACAACAGCACATTTATGTTACACTTACAGTTCTTTTTTTAAGGGGGGGAGGTGAAAGTTTATTATGATTCGAGATAACACCACAAAATAAACAACGAGATATAAGTAAAAAAAAATTAAGTAGTTTTAAACATATTAAAATAAAAAACAACTTTCTATCACTCAAATATAAATTTAAAAAATGTAGATTTCTTAGAGTTCTCATTTACTTTTTTTTATATTTGTTTTTAACAAATATAAAATTTATCAAAATATTAAAAACGTAAATTTACATGGATTTTATCATTGGTTAAATAATATATGATAATTTTTAATTTGTTTGTAATTAATATTGTAATTAATATGTAATTAATAATAAGCTTTTTACATTCATAATAGTTTAAAGAGAAGAGAAGTATTCTGTTAACTACATAATCGGCTTGACTCTTAGAATCACTACCTTCAATGAATGAAAAGAATGGACAAAATTTTTGGTAAATAGTTCGAAACGTGGTAAATAGATGGCAGCACATGCTATACTGTTAATTTCATCATTTCAGAAATGCGGTAGGAGGAAAATTTTCGTAATTTCTTGTTAAAAAAATACGTTTTAATCCCGAAATATAATTTAAATCATTGTTATTATTTGGAGTCATAAATTAAATCTTTATAGGTTGCGATATTGTTACTATTACCATAAAGAGACAACTGAACAAAGCTATCGTAACACAATACTCACGAAATTGTATTTTTTGAAATAGAACTAATTTCCTATAAGGGACTTTACATCTGAGATAAAATAGATATAACATTAACAAGACATTATATTAGAATAATATGATAGAAGAGTTAAAAAAAAACTCTTATTTAGAATTGATTAATAAGTCGAACTAAATGTTTACCACAAACGAAATATTCAAACAATTGAAACATTTTTTCTAAAGGTTAAGAATTTTGTTCTTTATATTGCTTTCTCCATAGGTCACGTCACCTACCACAATGATCTCATACTGAGGCCGGTGAGCCGCATGCGGCCGCAGTAGAAATTTTTTGCGGCCACAAAGACATTTCAATTATGAATTTGCCCCAAGTGTTACCATTAAAAAGAAATGTGAATGCATCAGAAAATCTATAAAGACTTAATTAATTTACAATACGATATAAATTTTATTCACAGATTTGAAGATAGAGATTTCATTAACTTTTTATTCGCATTTGTCAGAAAATAAATAAGTTCAATTACAAGATTTTGCGCTGAGATCTTCGGTCGGGAAATGTGTGAACACCAGCTAAATGTGAACAGGATTTTTTTCGCAGGTGAAGACTAATAAGAAAAAAAACCTTATGGACCAATGAGTATCTACATTCTGCGATAAGCATACTTCCTCTCCAACGCTATAAACGTCATCAAAATTTCAAACGCGACCAAGTGTCAAGGTGTTGTTAAGTAATAAAAGATGCTTATAATTATTTTGATTTATGCATCGAAGAAAAATTTAATAAAATAAGAAAAAGCGTCTAAGTTGTCATTATTTTTTCTCACGTTTTGTCCTACTTGGAAACTTTTCTCTGAAAAGTTAAGAAAGTTTTCATAATTCTTTCAGTTAAATTAAAGTTTTATAAACTTTAATGCATACCTTATTTAAGCTTTATTTAAATTTTAATTTACGCGCAAACATACTTATTTTGATTTATGCATCGAAGAAAAATTTAATAAATGAGAGAAAGAGACAGAATTGTCATTATTTATTTTCAAGTTTTGTCCTACTTGGACACTTTTGAAGTTCTATAAACTTTAATTTATTTAAATTTTAATTTACGCGCAAACATACGTATTTTCATTTATGCATTGAAGAAAAATTTAATAAATAAAAGAAAGAGACTAAGTCGTCATTATTTATTCTCGAGTTTTGTCCTACTTGGAAATTGAAAAGTTAAGAAAGTTTTCAAAATTCCTTTAAATTAAAATTTTATAAACTTTAATTTAATTTATTAATGATTAATTTAAACATGTTGATTTATAATAATGATTAATTTAAACATTTTGGAACTATGATAAATAAACGGCAGTCTGAAAATTCAATATTTAGCTGTCAATATATTTGAATTGCAAAGTGTAAGCAATGAAAATGTCTTGCAGGTACAAAACTTTAGATTTCAGATGGAAAAATAAGGATAAACTTGAATTTCATTCCTTTGCGATATTATTATCTCTAAGTGTGTTTTAAAAAATACTTAGTAAGCGAAATTTAAAAATATTTTTTGTTAATAAACTTTTTAAAATTTTTAATTTTGTTAAAAAAATTTCGGCCCATTAGCTGTTACAGATCGCGCATTCGATTACTTCACTTCATTATTAATGATTACATCACTACACTTGATCCTTAGATATTATAATCAAGATTCACGTATCCCCTTGACCTCGAATTGGTATGGATTTGATGAATAAGCGAAATCGAAACTCAGCAGCCAGAGCATTTCATAAGTAAAATAAATGCTTATTTTGGTCTTAAACAGCATATTTATTTTTACAATTTCTATTCTTGTTTGCAACATGTTACTTATTTTACATAAAAATATAACAAACTTTTAAGAAATAAAGCTTACGCAACGACGTTTACGACTCCAAGTAACGACGTTTTTAGCTCGACTCGTTGTTGCCACATGGCGAATCTTAATAACTATTCAAAACATTACATCATGTTGCCACTTAGGAAATCTTAATAATTATATAGAAACATTAAATTATGTTTCACCACATATATATGCCTACTTCTAAACTATTAATTAGTTTTGTACAAAAGGAAAGAGAAAGAAAACGTGTATCATTAAAAAAATCTCCGTAAAAGCACAAATTCATGAATTCCACTGAGAATTATTTCATTTGGAGCAGTCTGAATTGAGAACCAAGCTAGTCAAATAAATAATTGATCACACATGAGGTCAACTAACGACGCAGATTATTCATCATAGTGTCAGCGCTTTCTAGCTAATGACGATATTCATGATATCGTAAGTGAACGAATGGCATGGTTAGAGGGAAAAGTTCATCAAAACCCCCGTATAGTATTTTATCTGAAAATCTCGAAAGGGGGCTACCTCTCTACCACTCAGCCACCGACTCCGTAATCAATTTTCTTAAAACTAAGTATAATTAAGAATGGGTTGGTTAGAACATTTTAAAATCCTTTTTAAAATTTTTTATCACCTTATCACTTTTTTTCTAGAGTACACTTTTCAGGAAAAGACTCTTATTAATTAAAAATTTTTTATCACCTTATCACTTTTTTCCTAGAGTACACTTTTCAGATAAAGACTCTTATCAATTAAAAATTTTTTTATCACCTTATCACTTTTTTTCTAGAGTACACTTTTCAGATAAAGAGTCTTATCAATTAAAAATTTTGTATCACCATATCACTTTTTTTCTAGAGTACACTTTTCAGATAAAGACTCTTATCAATTTAAAAGTTTATTAAAGGACACATTTTTTATAAATTATTAGAATTACTCAAGTAAAACGAAGAATTAGAACGCACTTTGGACTTACAAATGTCGGACGGCGCTTCCCCTGCTGGGTCTCTCCGCTTCCATACAACGACAAATGCTGTAACGCTGATAATAACGATGAGAACCACGACGGCACATACGATGGGAACAAGAATAGTCGGATCTTCAAAAAAATGAGGAGTCCTCATCACATTCAGGGGAGGCACAGTTGCTGGAAAAAATAAAGTGTCTAATTACATGATTTTAATTAAATAAGTGTAATGACTGGTTTATTGGTTGCGTAAATTGTGTATTTTCAGAGCTTAAAATAATTAAGAACACATGCACCATTCAGTGCATACTCGCGATGGAAATTTAAGACAACGTTACATATAGGTATAGAATAGCAAGCAATAAAATCAAATACATAAAATTCTTTTACGAAAAACTAGGCTATGAAAACCATAAAAAACAGATGGAAAGCTCTACAGTCAAGTGATAAATTTTGATAATATGATTATAACTACATCCCAGTTAGATCTTCTGAAACCCAAATTGGTTTCAGGGCATTCAAATGGCGTGGTAAAACTTTGTAGCTTTTAAACGGTTAAAAATGTTAGAATGTGGTTCTTTAACAACTAAATCTTTTCCTGAAATCTCACGAGTACTAAAATAAAAAATTTTGAAAGCAATTAAAATTTGGAAAATTAGTTAAAATGTGTTTAATAGTTAAAATAGTGCTGCATTCAACACATACTGGTTCAGTTTCGTCTATCAATAGGTATCAATGTCTTAGCCTTGTGAGACCGATTCTTAGTCGGGTTAGAAGGACCTGCTCCTTTTGGTTTAGGGCACATTTCTAATGTTCTAGTTTAGGTTTTATGTTTCGTAATTTATTGGTTAACTGCGCATCCCAAAGCTTTTGCCATTTCATCAGAATTTTTCTCCCAATCAGCGTGCTAATTTCTGAATAGGGAACGGGTCGGTTGGTCCCGAATGCGCATTTTGCAGCGATATCCACCACTTCGTTTCCTCTTATACCAACATGGCTTGGTATTCAGCAATAAAGGATCCGGTAACCTTTGGCCTCGAAGCTAATATTGAGCTTCAGCACTTCTACGATTAACGGATTTGTGTTATTCACATACGATTCGAGAGATTTTAGCATACTAAGTGAGCTTGCGCAAATAAGGAAATTCTTCCTATCTTGTTTATATATGAAAGATAGATCTAATCGCAAAGGGACGATCTCCGCAGTAAAGATGGTATAAGCGAGATGAAGTTTTCTTTCCTCAATAGTGTTCTCGCACACAAAGGGAGAGCCGACGTGATCCTGAGACTTAGATCCATCTTGAGATGGAAAGTATGTTGAAAATTTCAATGTGAACATCTTTCCAAGAAAGTATTTATAAATACTTTACTGCTTGAACTTTCACCTCTTCCAAGGCATGTTCTTACATCCAGAATCGAACGCGAAATCCAAAAGCAGAAATACAAGAAGGAAAACATTCATAGAGCAAATAAAACTGGCTATCAAGCACTAAGTAGTTCGCTGGATGATCAGGTTGCGACACAATTTTGAAGTAATACTGAACAGGCAACTGATCGCGTCTCAGCTGAAGGGGGTGGCTCGAAACATTTTAAATTCAAAAGCTTCACATGAGATGTTCTGGAAGCTCCTGAGCAAATTCTCTGGTCTTGGTGGTGAACAGAATCAGGTTTCTTTACCACAGAAGGCCATGCCGATCCATAAGCCTGTAGAGAAATTAGGTACTTTTTCATAGCAGGAGAGATGAAAAATAAGCAACGCCTTCGCCTGGAATCGAAACACGGACTTCTGGAATACGCACCCAGCGTGCACACCACCACACCACGAAGGCACGCTAAGAAGGCGGGAACAATACCTTATATACTCCCTGTTTAAAGGGCGACTGGGCTTTTTAGAGGACCTAGTCGCCAAATCCCGGGTGCGGAGAATCATCATCCACCACCCTTTTAGTTCGGAAACCAATGTAGAGTATTTAGGTTATTTTTAAAGCAGGAGTGATGAAAAATGAGCAACGCTCTCGCCGGGAATCGAACCATGGACCTCTGGAATATGCGCCCTGCATGCAGACCACTGCACCACGAAGGCACGCTAAGAAGGCGAGAGAAATACCTTATAAGTCATTCATCCATAATTGAGTTTGCAGCGAATAAGAGCTTTGTAAATACGGAGCATGTAACTTTTATCTGCTCCCCAGGAGGTATTTGATTAATACTTTCAAAATGTTTAGTGCTTTTAAACACTTTTTCTTTATGTATGAGACACGAAAAAGAAAGGAGAGCTTCTTATCAAATATTATTCCTAGAAGAACTTTATTTGATGCAATTAATAATCTTTACTTTCAAAACATTTTAACGAATCGAACGCCTCTTTAACTGGTGAGCCTAACCAAAACTGTACGATGTTATTAGGATTCAATGTTTAAGTTTATATAATTATATTGTTTTACAGATTTTAGAAAACTTTGTTTGATACTATTTTAACCACTTCACCGTTTGTCCCGAAAGAGACTTGTCGATTTGAAATGTGTTTTCGGCAGACACTCGTCGGAGTTAAAGAGGTCTAGACTATTACCTCCAAGATAGATTCGTCAGTTCGCGTTTTCTCAACTCTCAGAATGAGTCGAAATTGAAGTAATAAATTATGGTGCTACGGAACTCGTAAATAAATACCCTGCGACAGCAAACAATTACCCAAAAGTATGAAAAGTCTTAAAAATTAAGATTTGGTAAAGTAGATTTATTAATCAAAATTTATGTCACAGAACTTTTGTCGTTAGTTATTCAGAAAGCCATGACAAATAGAGTTATCTTGCTCCCGCCTTCTTAGCATGCCTTCGTGGTGTAGTGGTCAGCACGCTCGGAGCGTATTCGAGAGGTTCGTGGTTCGAGTCGCGGCGAGGTCATTGCTCATTTTTCAAGATCTCCTGCTTTCAAAATACCCAGTGTCTCTACAAGCTTTGTATGAGATATTAGAATCTTATTTAGGGACGTTAGAATCTTTTATGTACAGCAACTGAAACATATAATTCAACTCAGCTTTCGTTAGTTGAGTCTCATGTTCCAGAGAAATTACTAAAAGTCTGGCAGCGACAATCAATTGGAGTTACACCGAAAGATTTCCTTCATTATTTAATGAAATTTATTCGGAATGTAATGGAAAGAGAGCAATACTTTTCAATAGCAGTTACAGAGTCTTAAGAACAAACCTTTCAATAAAACAAAGTGGTAAATTTCAAAAGCAAATCAAGAAATTGCAAGCGATGCTGCAATTTCTTGATTTCGTCGTTAAAGCATTTTGCAAATATTCTGTATTTGTCTCAAAGCTAAAGATATATCAGTGACACAAAAGAAAAATTGTGTATTTAATAAGAGATGATTTGTTGTCTGAAACCAGGACACGATGCTAAAAACTGTAAGTTTTAGTGAAATGTATGTTATGTTCAAAAAGGCATTTTAAGGGAATGTGTTTTTACAACATAAACCAGATGTCTGGAACAACATAAAACAACGATAAAGACGGAATTTAATTTATGAAAAACGTCCTTCGCGTTTATATATTGACAGATACGTAGACGAAAAAGAACATAATTGGAAATTTGTGTTTGAATTTGGAAAGAATATAGCAAATTTAAAAATAATTCGAAAATGATGTATGAGAAATAAATATCATACTTGCATTAATGCTTGATGATATTAAAACACTGGTGCTAAATCGGAAACTTGTAATTAAAAATGGCAAACAACAGGGAAATCTGAACAATTCATGTAATGAAAATTCTACGTCATGTGCCGCCATCTATCGATAGAAAGGGAACCTAATTCATTAACAATATTTTAAGATGCAAAAAGAAAGTAGATCATTTTTTATTCTTATATAACAAAGAAACTACAATAGACAAAACATAAGTTTAACGGAATTGTTCAAAGAAAAGAAACAAATATAACGGTATTGTGATGGCGGGAGAAAAAAAGCTGTTCAGCGAGATATATGATTCTGGAAAGATAAATTGCTTTTTGTGTGATATAACCGTCCTCCAACACAATTTGAGATATATTACTATTTTTGTGAGGAATCAATATATCACTGTCGACGCTACAACCATTAATATTTCAGAAGAATATAGTTCCCACTATTTATATAACTAATGAATTCACTTCAAAAAGTTTCAGGTTAAATTTATTCCTTGTTCTAAAGCAGAGTGAAAGTTAATAAGAATAGAAAAAACTGAAAATGAGTTTGTACAGAAACCAGGCAAAACATTTCATTGAAATTTGAGTGACAAGACAAAATTTGATATGAAAACTTCTTTTTTTTTCCATATCAGGTAAGATCCGATCTAATGAGCATTTAGCAAATTTTATTTATTATCACTTTCTATTTATTTTTTCATTACTTTGACCGTATAATTGGTAATATTACAAACTGATAATACCGATAAATAATTTCTGTTAATTCTTTTATAATTTATTAAAGATTTTTTTCCCTATAGTAACTGTCAGGGATGTGGAGTCGCTAGGGAAAATGACCGACTCCGACTCTGACTCCACCATGTGTAAATATATACACGTAGGTTTCAGCTTATTTTTTTAATATAAAAGAAGTAATAGATGGTGCAGGAAAAAAAATGATGGCATAGCAAATTACTTATATTAATTAACGTTTATTATGAAATGTATAAACCGGCATTAGTTATTTCTAAGAAACAGTATAGATTCGAGAAGATCTTCTTTGTTGGAGGGCCATAGATCCGATTTGATAAACTTCAGAGCTGAGAAGAGTCTTTCCAGGCTAACTTGAGTAGAAAGAAGAGATGTTACTGTTAGGGCTTACTGTTTTTAACTTTTCAGGATAGATTTTATAAGTTCTAAAAAAAAAAAAAAAAAAAAAAAAGGTGCCTTGCAAGTGCAATCATATTTCTCTATTTCTTAAAAGCCCTTGTAGAAATTCTGTTTGTATTTTTTCATTTTTATATCCAAAGGCTCTTGGTTCATTATTTTCATTTTCTTAAATTTCTTCGTCATCCAAGAAAATTCAGTGTTTCGGATCTACATATATTGAAGTCAGCAAGATCTTATTGTCTAGGAAACTAGTTTCTTTTTTTCTTTCATTGAAGAAATGATTCCTTCTGCAATTAAACCCTTCCATTTCACAGAAAGAACAAACATCCCATTCTTCCATTCTAGCCTTCTGTTCAATTCTTCAGACTGCAGGCTATTTTGTGGCTATATAACGGTGTGGAAAGAAGAGTTTCCAATTCTGCAATGATCATTCCACAGTCTTTCTATTAGTGAAACATTAGGGTTATCTACATCTTCTAAGAAAGTTCTTAATTCCAACAACCTCTTTACCATCAAATATATACTTCCTTATCGCGTTGCTTTGATAAATAATTGCTCGCTTCCTAACAATGGCATCAATTTTGAGAGTTCTTGCTGCTTACCTAAATTTACCAGTGAGATTTGTAACTAAATGAATCAGTTTAATCACTAATGGTAAATATCACATTCTCCTCCTCCCATATATTTATTCATTACTATGTCAATAAAATATAAAATAAGTATTTATTAATGTATATAGTCCATAAATAAAACAATAACTCAGCTTGTCATTAATGTTTTCAATTCATTTTAATTTCATTTCAAATTTAAAATTTCCAACAAAAACTGGAGTCGGAGTCGACCTGTTTTTAGCGACTCCTAATGTCATGAAATGTGCCAAAAGGAAGTCATTTGAATTTTCTTTATTTTTGGGGGGCTTTTGTGCTACGTGGCAGCTTTTTCGAAATACGTTACGGCACGTGCGTGGTCGTGGGTGAAAATCGGAAAATATTTTTCTCTCAATGTAATTTTGTGTTATTAATTGCCGTGTATTACTTTAATTTGCATACATTTGACCCTGTAATTTTTATATCGGTTTTCATGGAAAAAAAAAATATGTGCGACCAGCTGAATTGGCTCACATTCTTCAAGAATTATCTGATGAAGAAAAGGAAGACAAGGAAACCTTTGGATGGAAGAGCAATAGCGATTTCCATTCCTTATTTTTATTTATTTCTATTTAGAAATAATTAAAAATATTATAGTTAGTTAAAAGTGCGTTTTTGTAACCAGTAAGAAGTAAATTTCCTTGCAGAATTAAGTAATGTTAAAGTTACTTTTTTCCTACCAAGGTGTGTTTTCCATTTTTATCTGTTTATACTTGTCTTTGATGAATATTAAAATTAGCTTCGTCGTTTTTTAAAATATATTATTAAATAATAAATTTAAAATTTTCTATAATGAAATACATGATTGCATTTCCATCTCACTAACATAAGAACTTAAAAATAATTTACTTATATATGAGTGTGATATCATTTGTATTTTGCAATAATAAGGTTAATATTTTTTTTTCTTAAATTTATTATCAATAGTCACTCATATCTGTCGTTTTTTGTGCCAAAAACAGTAAAATAACGGATGTCGTAAAAAAATACGATGCGCGCGTGCTGGAAGGTTAAGAAAGCATAAATTTCCCAAAACGACTATGAGAAAAAAATATTTTCTTCATTTTAATGTAAAAACTCTCCTGGTACTATATACCTGGATTTGTGCACTTTTAATATATTGACTTAATTTTTTGACACATTTTAATATTCACGTATATATACGTTCATACAGATATCACAAAAAATATTCTAGAACGTATATTTACGGCTTTGCCGGTTAGAAAATAAATTTTTTGCAAAGACCATTTTGATTTAAGATCGAAAAAATTGCACATATACTGGCTAAAATACTTTATATTAATGAAAAGTTGAGATTTAATTAAGATCCTCAGTAAGAAACTCAATATTTAAACATTTAGAAAATAGAAATATTGACTATACCTCCGGTTAAAGTAAGAGTGGCAAATCTGTACTCTGCATCTGTTGTTCCTGCGTCACTGTGAGCTGTCACGAGAAGATCATGCCAAGTTCCTGGACTCAGATCTGCGATCAGCAGTACCTCTTGATCTGTAAGGATATGGTTAGAGACGAGTATCCATTCTTTCTGACCCTGAGGTTTATACTGTATGACCAAATGAGATATGGGACAGCCATCGTCCATCCAGTTACGTAAATTCAGTTGTACAGAAGTAGTATTACTTCGGATAAACTCAGATTTTTCGGGTGCAACTGGTGCTGAAATGTTAAGAAAAATGATTAAAGATATATATTTGCATTAAAAAATTACTGAAGAAAATATAAAAATATTGGAAAATAAATTAGTATTTAAATTTTGAATCTATATGTATTATATAATAAAATACTTGAAAAAAATTTAGTTGAAAATCATTAACTTAAAGAATTAGCCCAAGATGCAAATGCTAGTCTGTATCATCTTACTCTCAATACACCTCAGCCGACCAGAGGATAAAATAACAGAACACTGGTAGTTCTATCCGAGGTTCGGATTCTCGCGAACGAGCTGGCTACATGGCCGTTTCAAGGGTTTTCTCCGTTCGCAACGTGCAAATGAGCCCTTAGCAAGTCCTCCACGAAGGCATCTCTCCCCTTAGGCAGATAGCCCTCGAGTGCTTTGTCATTATTATGTAATCAAAGCAATCAATACGTGCCTCTCCTCATTATTCTAGCTGTTAATTCAAACCGAGAAAGGCATATCTGATTAAACTTGTGACCAAGATTGTCGCGCAAATTTGAGCTTGGTGACTCACCTGTCGCTGAGATGGTAAGACAGTTGAGTACTGGTTGTTTGACCTTATTTCGAATCACGAGGAAGGGGTTATTTGCGTGAGTGTTTGATTGTTTTCCTCGGTCAAATATAGATGCCAACCAGTTTTTGAAAATACACCCTGAATGCATCTCATTCTTAAGGTATGAAGTACTTGTATGCTTTCCTGTTCACTGTTAAACAAAGACTAATATTTGTATCACTCGGTCATTCTCTTTAGGTGAATACTGAAGTTTCATTATGCTTTTTAGAGTCGGAAAACGTGAAAAATCAATCAGTCCCTCTCCAGGAATAAAACTCCGAACTTTCCGATTGCTAGCCGAACGTGCTATCTGTTATAAATATATGATATTTGTAATTTTCCACCTGTTTTCTTAGAATGCTAATTTTATTACATTAGTACACTTTCTGAAAACCTATTAAGTTTATAACCTTGAAAATTCGCATGTTGTTTATGGTATTTAAATTAATAAGAGTCGCTTTAGTATAATTAATTTGTAATAAATTAGAGATTCTTTAATGGAAATCTTGAGAGTTTTTTTGATATTTTACATTAAAAAAATTATAACTATTAATTTAATTGCATTAAATAGTTTTCCATAATTAGTTCAATATAATGAGTAAAAAGGACTACAACGACATATATCAGCTTTACTAATTGTATATATAACTATTAATTTATAATACAAAAGCTTCTCTTCTTCCCCCCGAAAGGTTTTCTTCCTTTAAGCAGATAGTTCTTGCGCACTTTGCTGTAATCGAATAATCTAACCAAGGCTTCACTTGTTGAGGGCTTAGATGTAAAACTGTTAAAATTTTGCTATTTTTTAATGCTTAACATTTAAAAAATATACCAGAAACATATTTATCATTTAGCTGGTGAAAATTCACTGAGATTACTAGTATCAGTTACCGCAAAATAAATTCAAAGGAGTTAAATATAAGGAGGCCCATAAAATATCAAAAAGTCTTTTACTTTGATTGATATTAGTTTCGAAAACCAAAAGTATTCAGAGCTACAGTTTTTCTCTGGTTACTGATGTATACATTGGTTTTTACTTATAAGTTTAGCGCACGATGGAAAACCAACAAAAATAGAAAAACTAAAGTTTTGAGCAACATCAAATTGCACATGACGGCAGGAAATATGTTTACGCATCAAAGAAAGTAAGTATTATGTACAAAGCTGAAAACAATATTTAAACCTAGTACATTATATGATGACGTCACATTTGAGCAATTAGTATCTCTTGTTTAAATCTAAATTGATCGGAGATTATCGGATGATCTAGTGGATGTTAATTCGTCACTATTCCGATTTGGCGGCTATGTCTCCTCAACCGATGGTCTCAATGTTCTACGTGTCTTCGTGGTGTAATTGGAAGTATTTCTAGCTGGCTTCAGAAGATCCGAATTTCAAATGCTTGAGAGCATTAAGGATTTCTTGCGTTTTCTGGCTTCGAAAAAAATCCTTATAACTTCATAAGCTTGCCTATAACCGAAAATGTAAATTTTTGCTGCACAATAATTTCATAAGAATATTTTTGATAATTTAAGATATAGTTTAATTATACTTATAATTCTTGATATATTTTAACGATGTTCATAATTTTTATACTGCTGTTTTATGTGAGCATATTTAACACATTTTTATATATACACGTATGTATAACATTGTGAAATGCTCTAATGAAAGATAAAATACTTTTGAATAAATTTTAGTTTAAATACATCCTGCAAAAATGAGAAATGAGGTATTTATGATGTAGCATTAAAAAATAATAATTGAAAGAGAATATAGGTTTCGTTTTTATTGCCTAAAATATCTTATCCACTTACCTCTACCATTTGTGGTGACCTGTAGCATTTCGCTAGGTTCGCCACGCCCAACATTGTTACTCCCTCTCAAGACAATCTGGTAGGACGTGCCACATTGCAGATTTTCCAAAGTGAAACTTTGCCTCGAAGCAGGAAGTTTGATTTCATGCCACTGGCCTGAACTCCCTTTATATGTGAGGATAAATTCTACGAAACAATAAACAGCGTCCTATTTACACAGTGTAAATAATATAGCAGCATTATTCTATAATACATTTTAGCTTTGAACAGTAAATTAATATCAGTTAATGCATCCAAATAATCTAACAACAACAGATTTTTTTTAAAATGTGTCTTTTACAAAATCATTTCGTTTTGATATTGTTATACCATTATAAATATATTAATTTTATTTTGCTTCTTTCTTGACTTACTGCAGTTCAGACCTCTATTTGACAACTCATTGAAACAGAGCATATTATTAAACAAGTGCAAAATAAAAAAATACTAATTAATTAATTAGTGTTAATATCCCGCTAAACGCCCGAGCTGTACTTTCTTTCAAGATATTACACGTATTAAGTGCTAAAGATCGATTTTTTTGCTGCTAATTATGATGAAATAATGAAACTTAGGAGAGTTTTAAAGTTGACACACATTAAAAGTTTATTTGAACTTGTCAATTTTCTAGTGCATTTATGTTTCAAACATATGCGTAAGAAACTTGTAATTTAACACACAAAAGAGCTTTTCTTTATTAATTTATTCAAGGCAATAATTTTCGTTGTGAAAACAGTAATAAAAACAGCGAAAACAGTAATTAAAAACAATTTAGTCAGCCAGACAAAAAAAAAAAAAAAAAAAAAATCATTTAAATAATCTATTAATCTTTCGCATTTTTAATTTCTGCAGAGCTAATTTTCCTCCTCTATATCTTTGCTTTTGAAATTTGATGCTTTTTTTCATCACAAATTCCATTGGTAGTTTGAGATTCAGAATTAATTTTATTAGCAATAATAAATGCACAGAAGTCCAATCGCAATCCCTCCCCGCCAAAACAAAGGAAAATGATGGAAATGGAACAAAATGGAGGTAAATATTATAAGTTTATCACGATTTAACAGCTGCATGTAGCTGCACAATATATACGGCTATAAAATATTTAGATGAGAAATTCTGTCACTAAATACGGAATGATTGGGAAAATGATTTTATGTTAAGTTAGATCAATAGAAACGTAAATTCGGATGCATCGATGTTTGACTGTGTACGTCTGTAAGTCTGTAAAGAAAATAAGCTAAATTATTAAACTTTAAAACTCTCTTATTGTCTGTTGCAATTAAATATAGCTGCAACTTGTTTGAAATTTTAATAAAAATAAAGCAATAAAAATTTAAAGCAAGACGATTTTTGAGCGTCTCCTCCAACTTTGTTGCATGGTGCTGCCATCTAGTGGCTGATAACGTAGTTATAAACGGTGTGAGAGCATTGAAATATCTTCAAAATATGAATTTTAATTAATAGTACTTTCGTAACGCTGGTCAATAACGGTTTTTTCAAAAAGCTAATTAATTTGTACTGTTAGTATTTTAAAGAAAAATCTATCATTAGAAGTTTATAAATTTAATTATTATTATTATTATTATTGCGTGTGTAATTCCTTAATCCTTTGAAGCTAAACTACTGAAATTTTAAAATGGAGAACAAATTATAAATATAAGCATTTAAATTGAGCAAAAGGAAAAAACCTCTTCATCATTTCAGCTAAAAATAGCAATGTTTATGTATTAAGACTATTTTAATACATAATGAAACAGTGAAAGCTGAAAAATACATTGAAGAATGCAGTAATAAATAATTTAAACTCATCTTCATATACCCTATAATTTCTTTCTAATTGCTTATTCAAGATGTAGAATATGTAGAGATCATAAAAAGGCTTTATGTTTATTTATTTTTACCTGTTATAGGTCTTTCTGCTGTAGCTGTTGCTTCCCAGTGAAGATTAATCGACGTAGCTGAAGTATCAATAACCTTTAAAAGTGGTGCTGATGGTGGATCTAGAAGAACACAATAAGAAAACATAATAGAAAATTTTTCGAATTCCATAACTCGCATTTTTAGCCAAAATTACGAAAATTACACTTTGTTTCAACTGACCAGACACTTGCAATTCAATTCATTCGCCTTCAAAGTTAGGTTTATTTAATTACGGCAAAACGCTTTAGGGCTATCTGCCTAAGGAAAAAGATGCCTTCGTGGAGGACTTTCTAAGGGAAACTTGCTCGTATACACGTTACACCTTGGGGAAGCCACGCAAACGCCCATGCAGCCAGCACGTTCGCAGGATTCGAACCTCGGACCGAACTACCAGTGTTCAACGACTTTAGCGCTCGGCCGCTGGTATGCTCTTCAAAGTTAGGAACTTCACTATAGATTAGCGCTAAACATTACGTTTCGTTTCTCATTTGCTTTCATTGATGAATACTACACATCTTTAAGTAAAGGGTTAAAAATCCAAAGCAGTTTTGTTTTTCACTATTATTGAATATATTTCATAATTTTACATTTAAGAATAAGCGGCAGAGCGGTAAACGCTGAACACTGGTAGTTCGGTCCGAGGTTCGAATCCGGCGAACGGGCTGGCTGCATGGGCGTTTTCGTGGTTTTCCCCATGTGTAACGTGTATACGAGCCAGTTCCCTTAGAAAGTCCTCCACGAAGGCATCCCTCCCTTTAGGCAGATAGCCCTCGTGTGCTTTTCCATAATCGAATAATCCAATCCAAATCAATTTAAGAATAATAATGTTTCTAGGAACAGCATTTTCGGATATGTAAAAAATAGTAGTTCTAAATTTCTTCTTTATTATTACTTAGTGAAAATATTATTTGTTAAATGCCATTTTACAGAATGATATACCGGATTTCCGCGCGTATTTTCCTCTCTCGCATATTTTTTTTCCGTAGCTCCACTTTGAAAAATAAATAAATAAATAAATAAATAAAATATTCGCATAATTTTTCCCTTCTTCAGTGCGATAAGAGAAAGAGCTTTCCTAAATTTTAAAACAGATTCGTCCACGAAATGATTGTTTTCGATTTACTAACACGCAAACTATCTGCGAAGGTCACGTTGAACATTTTCCTTCAAGCTTTGAACTGTTGTATTCTATGCCAACTTAATAGAGATAACAATATGAATGGGGGAGATTCAGATTACAGGTAAGCTGAAATGAAGATATCTTTTTCAATATTACAATGTTAAAATTACTACGCATTATTTTTGTAGTGCAAGTTTCTTTCAAAAAATAATATTGTAATAATCCTGTGGTTTATCCATGCCTCCTTTTCATTTGCTATGGTCTTACCATAACCGACTCCTTCGGAATATTATATTTTCATTTCTTATGTTTCATTGAAACCGCCTCCTTTGGAAAATAAATTATTCGTGTAATTTTCCCATCTGGATTTTTGAACGATAAAAATAGTAAAAAATGATAAAAGATTAAAAAAAAGTCTGGTGGATTCGGCAGTCATACTTAAAATTTCCTTTGTTTACGAATACTTAGATCATTCAGGAAAATGGCATTTATTTTAGAATTATACATTTTATTATTTTCCTCTCAGACAACAGAAATTTACTCAATCTCTTTTTTTTATTTTTCAAAGACCTTTTTAATTTAAATATTAATTTGTTTGTAATATTAATATACTAATTATATTAATTGTTTGTAATATATTAATATACTAATTAATATTAATTTGTTTGTAATATAATTAATACTAATTAAGTATTAATTTATTTGTAATATATTAACATTAATTAAAATTCTGATATAGAATTAATTTAAAAATTATTTTAATTTAAGCTATAATTGAAGACCTTAATAAGACTACGCAGAGAATGCATGTGTGTACTTAAAACCGTTTCACGTACTCAACTCACTCCAGTTAGTGGGAATTCTTGTCTCCTTACGTATTTCGACACAAATTATTATAATTCTGTAGAGATTATTATAATTTTTTGTAACCGAGAAAAGTGAGATTTTTTGTAACCGAGAGTGCACTCTCTAGGATTCCGAACCACGAAACCATTTTTCAGCTTGAGATGCTAATCACTTGAGCCACCAGAGCATGTACAACAGGAAATAATAATTTCTTAGATTCTTCCCTAATCAAAAGTGAATGGGAAGAGAATCGCACCCAGTAGATGAAATCTATGTTATGCTATTGTCCACTGCAGAAAATATTAAGATTTTTTGGAATCGGGAAAAGTGAGAAATTAACAGTGCTCTCGCCAATAATGGAATTATTGATTTTCCTCATGTTAGTTTATTATAATCATTTACACCACGAAAAAATAAAGGGCTGATTCGAAAATTCCATAAAAAGTGTTAAATTATGGGAAGAAATAAGGCAAGAACTGGTGTACATTCATATAAATGTATTTAAATATATTTCCGTAATTTAAAAAAACATGGTGTGGACACCACACGACTTCCTTGTACGGCCTGTACACAAACGAAGTGCAGATAACATGTTTTGCTGCACTTCGTTTAAAGTTATTTCGTCGAAATATTCTAATTTAATTATACAATGCCTCAAGTCAAGGTAAAAAATGACATCAAGAATTGCAAATTTTGAAATTTATGATGTTGGGAGGCCCCAACTTGTCAGCAACAGTAGTAGTGACTGCTATGAACTAGAAATTACACAAACTCTTAAGAAGGGTTTAACTCCCTTTTTATTTCACTTTAGAAATCACAGTTGCGTTCACTTGACGCTCACAAACTACGCCGACCCGGCGGTTAAACAAAATAGACAAAAATGCAACTAAAAATAAATGACAGGATGAATAAATAACAAAGTCACTATCTACGAGGCTCTATAATCGTAACTAACTTAACCGCGTTCTAAGATACAGCTGAGATCCAGCAAACAAGATTCAACGAAATGCCGAAGTAGGCACCCAGGTCGAAACGCGCGGTTCTTAAATTTCTACCTAGCAACCTTCACGCTCGTGATTCAAGAAGCACACTTACAATCTCGCTTCCCTTCTATTTAAACTCAATTACTTCTGCTAAAATTTGAATACTCTACGCGTTCTACTAAAATTTACATACTCTGGCATTGGCAATTCTAGGGGAAAGTAAAGCTTGACAGGAAAGATAGCTTAAACTTAAAATAAATGTTAGTTAATATAAATATAAACCCTACAAATTAAATATCCATGTCAATTTTTTTCCGTACGAGTCAAACTTCCTATAATTTTACTTTTTCATAACGACACTGCATTGAAGGTTAGATTTTATTATTTGCCCAAAACAAATTTTAAAAAAATTGACAATGGAAAAACATGAATATTTTTATCATTTAAAACACTTCTGTAATTAACAAGGATTGTGTTCATGGATACACACGTCAACACAAAAAATATTAAAAATGGATTTGGGAACGGCCAAAGTGGGCATTTCCGTTGAAATCTGAAAACGGAAATATTTCTCCATTACAAGTGTTCCTTTACTATATATAAAGAAGTTAAAAGAGGTATGCAGTAACATATGAGCTTCCCTCACCCATCATCGGTAATAAACATCATTGGAATGACCAGCTTTTACATTAAAAGTACAACAAATGTACAACAAACGTAACTTTTAATGTAAAAGTTAAAAGAGGTATTCAGAAACATATGAGCTTCCCGTACCCATCATCGCTAATAAACATCTCTGGAATGACCAACTTCTACATTAAAAGTACAACAAATATACAACAAACGTAACTTTTAATGTAAAATTTAAAAGATTTATTCAGTAACATATGAGCTTCCCTCACCCATCATTGGTAATAAACATCTCTGGAAATGACCATCTCTACAGTAGACCAGTATCATCTGGAACAGTGAGGAGTTGGTGGTTTAGAAAGGTATTGTTATACAAATAAAATAATGACATTGGCTCTTGAAATGAATCTTCTTAAATTATACATTCATCCCAAACAGTTTAATGAAGTAAAACATGGGCTTTAAAAAGCAGAATACATAATTAACGATTTCTTTTGAAAAGACTCCCAACTTCCTACGCCTGTAACTTGCAAATGCTTATTAAAATTGATCTACATTTCTGCTTGTCTATCTATCCATTTATACGTGTATGTGTGTGTACTCCCATAATGGGCTTCCGCAGCCAGCTACTTAAATCAACTAATTATTAAACTGTGAGCCATGAAACAAATTTAGAAAGAAAGTGAACAGATAATTCAATATAACAATTAAAGTGACTTTTTGTTCAATTCGTTTAAATTTACAAGAAGACTTATCGTATAAATGCTATGGATATCGTTATGTGTATTAAACTTACCGTATGGTTAATGATATAGTAATTTTAGTAATCATAGATAAATATTAGAATTGAATATTACTTTTCTAAAACGACTACCCTCACAGAAGGCCTATATTAACTATAACATTATGTGGCCGTGCCTGCATATTATTATTTACATTTGTTGTACTTTTAATGTAAAAGGAATACTGAAGCTGATACTTATTAGATAATTGTAAACCAATCGGATAAGCTGAAAATTTTGAAGTTCTCTTTAAAAAGTGTTATTCCCGATAAGTAAATCAAACGCTGACATTTTATTTCCTGATATGGAATAATTTTCAGAAAAGTATCGTAGAATTGGTTAAAAACGGGAAAATCGTGAATTAAAATTGCTCATGTACAATGAAAATAATGTGATCTGCACATTAAATAAAAGATAATTATGGGTAACTTCAGTTAGCATTTTAAACAACATCTAAAATTCATATATGGGAAAAAATCTCTGTTTTACATTTTTCTCTACATTTTTTTTCTCATTTTTTTTTCTACATTTCTCTCCTTTTTCTCTACATTCTGATTAAAATGTAGGGACTACTTTCACATAGATTACTTGCCCAAAAAGACTGTCTCTGAAAATAACAGGTATTTGTGAAAACGTGCATTAACACCTTTAATTCAAAATCACCTCCCTAAGATGACCAGCTCTACAGAAGACCCAAATCCTCTAAAACAATGAAAGGT